TAGATGTGTATAAGAGACAGGTGTGTGTGTGTGTGTGTGTGTGTGTGTGTGTGAGAGAGAGAGAGAGAGAGAAAGAGAGAGAGAGCTTCATTTTGTGAACAGGAATGATGATCCCAAACTCCCCAGAGCAAGTTCGGTGCTGCATAACTTCCTTTTCGATGTCTTCTTCTTCTACCACTTCTTATTATTCTTATTATTCTTATTATTATTATTTTTTTTTTCTTCTTCGTTTTCGTCTTCTTCTTCTCCTTGCTATGCAGCCTTGTGAGGTATGGCTTCTTCTTCTTCATGTTTTGTGCCGCTGCAGGTATGCATCGGTCAGTGTTGGAAGGAGTACAGGTACGCTGCAACCACCCCACCAACACCCCCCACAACACCCGCCCCCCCCCCACCCCCACCCCCCATGAAAAAAAAATTTGCACATCTATCTTTTCTCTGCGGATTCGGGGAGATCTCGACAAGCGCAGTCCAACCCCATCATCAAAAAATAATAATAATAATAAATCGCCCCGGTTTTGGGCCCAACCGGATTTCCGGTTGGACCATCGGGGTCCCAACCGGCCCGGTTGGGTCCGGTCCGGTCCGGTCCAACCAGCCGGTGCCCGGTGCAGCCCTGGATGAAACCCTTCTCAATCCATTATCTTACGAAGTTTCATGCACCTTCCACCACTGAGAAGTGTTGTCTGTTCTGGAGAAGGATACTGGGATTTTCAAAAAGGATCTGATTAGCCACTTCGCCCTTAGTGCTCGGAGGAACGAGTTGTTGTGGGAGAAGCTTTTTCTAGGCTTAAAAAATGCCTTTCCAAACGTTGGACTTTATCCTTCTGTTTAAAAAAGAAGGGATCAGACAGCAAAGCCACACATGTTCAGGATTGCTGAGAGCCCATTCCTCCGCTAATATGTATTTTGCCAGTTTAGCCACTGCTTGTTTGAGTCCTCAAACATGGCCTTTATGACCCACTTGGGCAGAAGGGCCAGGTTTTGACCCGAGCGTCCTTTATACCCAATCCCCCTTGTGATCTTGGTTGAGAAAGTGCTTCCCAGGCTACTTTCGAGATAAAGTCTTTGTCTTCCTCTGCAGTGGGTTTCCAGAGATATCTTGTTGTCACCCGCTTCATTGAAGAGTAGGCCTCATCGAGCAACAAACAGATTGACACCGGAAACCACAGTAGAGAGAAGGTTGCGGATGAAAGAACCATGGCTCCCTACGAAGATGGAGAACTAAAACACAATCTCCTTTCTTGTTAGCGATGAACTGCCGTTTGATATGTTACCAGGCATGTCCTACCTCGAAGTTGCTAAGCCCCAGTTTGACTGGGATCGAAAACTGGTGTTGTACAAGTTGCCAGATGGACAAACCGTTAGATTGGCTAAGCGTCTTGGTCCTACTAGTCTAGTGGCATCATATTGCTGCTTGTCTGCCCAGTCAGTCTATAATTATTATAAGCATCATGAGGAGGAGGGTTACCTAGTCTATGTCTCTGAGAAGAGAAAGACCATAGAAACCCCTCCAGAGATAGAAAGCATGATCGTCGAGTATCCAAACCTTTTCGACGAGCCCTCAAGAGTGGTAGAAAGAGAAGTAGTCCATGCAATAGAGATAGTCCCTAGTAGTAAAATACCTAAAGGGAGAATCTATAGGATGGCACCTGTGGAGCTTGACAAGCTTCGCAAGCAACTGAAGGAGTTAACAGAGAAGGGTCGGATCCGGCCCAGTATGTCTCCCTACGGATCACCCGTTTTAAAAGGGTGGCACTCTTAAGGATGTGCATAGATCTCAATGTCATTATCGTGAAAAACGTTGAGCCCCTACAATGCATAGACGACTTGCTGGATCGTGTGCAGGGATGTAAGTACTTTTCTAAGATAAACTTAAAATCCGGCTACCATCAGATTGTGATTAGACCGGAGGATCAACACAAAACGACATTTCAGACTAAGTACGGTCTATACAAGTTTATGGTGATGCCCTTTGGCCTACGCAATTCGTCGGGAACATTCCAGCACACTATGAATTGGATCTTTCATGACTACTTCGATAAGTTTGTAGTCATGTACTTGGATGACATACTTATCTTTAGTAAGTTTGTCGCAGAGCACGCTAAACACTTAGGCATCGTGTTAGGCCTGTTGCGACAACACAAGTTTAAGGTAAACTTGAAGAAACTTTAATGCGAATTTGGACGCACCACGATCCTTTACTTGGGTCATGAAGTATCCACAAAGAGACACAAGTCGGAGGATGCGAAAGTGGCTAGCATTAGGGACTGGCCATGACCTCGGACTGTTACAGAGTTCAAATCTTTCTTTTGGATGACGGGGTACTACCGCCCGTTTGTTAAGCACCACAGTTCTATTGCGAGCCCCTTGATTGATCTAACATGTCTTACACCTCTTGGGAGTGGACTGATGATTGCGAAAGAGCCTTCAGGAAGTTGAAGCACACTCTAACCAATCATGAGGTTCTTTAGCTTCCAGATCCTGATAAGCTATTTAGAGTAACAACTGACATAAATCAATATGGCATAGGTGCAATACTAGCTCAGCAGGAGGGCCCAAAAATGAAACCGGTAGAGTACATGAGCAAGAAAATGCCATCTCAGAAGTTAGCTAAATCTACCTATGAGTGAGAGTTGTTTGCTCTATACAAGGCCTTGACCCATTGGAGGCACTATTTATTGGGCAGAGCTAAGTCTACCTATGAGCGAGAGCTGTTTGCTCTATACAAGGCCTTGACCCATTGGAGGCACTATTTATTGGGCAGATTCTTTATTCTAAGAAACGACCATCAGACCCTCAAATGGATTAAGACTCAGCCTGCCTTGTCTGACACCCTGAAGCGCTGGATTGAGTACATCGACCAGTTTGACTTCAAGTAGAATACATAAAGGGCGAGTATAACAAGGTTGTCGACGCCTTGTCTCGCAGAGCTGACTACCTAGGGGCCTTAATAACTGAGTTTGGCTTAACCAACGAAGTTAACACAAACCTGGTGGAAGCCGACAAGAAAGACCCAGTCATGATGGACATCATTCGCAAGCTCGACTCCAAGGATAAGAAAACCTTGGATGAGTTTATGCTGGTGGATAGGTTGCTTTTCTTGAACAGGCAGGGACAAAAAGATTACGTGTTCCACATAGTGAGTCTTTGCGTACTTTATTTTCAGGTGAGTAACATGACGCTACCGGCCACTTTGGCTATAAGAAGACTTGTGCCAACCTCATTCAGAGGTTTTGGTGGCCTAATATGTACGATGCCGTGAAGAAATACATAGAGACCTGCCAAGTGTGCCAGAGGGACAAGCCACGAACACAAGCACCACTTGGCTTGGTCAAACCCCTTCCAATTCCCTCTGGACCAGGTGAAAGTGTGTCCATGGATTTCATGGATACGCTGGTCACCAGCAAGAGTGGGAAGAGGTATGTCTATGTCATCATAGATAGGTATGTCTATGTCATCATCGATAGATTCTCCAAGTTCGTACGCCTCATTGTCATGCCATCTTCAGCAAAAACTGAAGATGTCATCAAACTGATTATGGAACATTGGGTAAGGGATTTTGGTCTACCTCGTACTATCGTTAGTGATAGAGATGTCCGCTTCATGAGTGAGCTCTGGAATCAGACTGCTGAGAACATGGGCAGCCGACTGCAGATGACCTCGGGTAACCACCTGGAGGCCAAGGGCCAGGCGGAGCAAATGAACCGTGCAGAGCAGCATCTGTTGCGGCACTACATCAAGCCTAGCCAGGAGGACTGGGACGAGCAGTTGCCACTCGTCGCAAGCCTGTATAATAACGCTGTTCACAGCACAACAGGCAAGTCCCCTAACAACCTGCATATTGGCTGGAAGCCACTAACTCCAATTGACTTCCTCCTTCCTGAAACCGACCCACAGCAGCTCCTGGTAGCTTAGACTATGCAGTCCGCTACAAGAACATGCTTGAAGAGGCTGTTGACCATTCACGTAAGTCCCGGAAAGCAATGATTGCTTCCACGAACAAGCATCGCCGACAGTCCACATTTCAGGTGGGGGAACGTGTCTGGGTCTGCAGAGCTAGGACAAGAGTTCGGTGTATCTAGGAAACTAATGCCACAGTATTTCGGACCGTGGGAGGTACTAGACATAGTGGGAACAGATATGGATGGGCCCTCTTACGTCATCAGAGTCCCAGGGCATCTACGCACTCACCCTGTATTCCATGCCTCAAAGCTGGCACCTTTTGCAGAAACTAACAAATTCCCTTCGAGAAGATCTATGCTGCCCCCAACCATGGAAAAATGCCAAGTTGATATTGATGATATTGTGGGACATCGCACCAAGACCCGTTGGCAGAGAAAGACCTCCTAGACCGCCCCGAGAATATCGTGTGAGGTTGCGGCATCACATTGATCCTGCAGAAGATCCCTGGATTGCCAAGGAGGAACTGATCAGGACAGCTCCACAGATCGTCGCTGAGTATGAAAGAAAAATGACGGGGAAGGCTGTGCAAAGGTAAAAGGAGCATCTCAGAGGACTATCAATGCTAAGGAGGAGGGAATGTGAGGGTCAGGCCCCTCAGCAGCAAAAACAAGGACCCCAAAGACAGCTCCAGACCGCCCTAAGTGAAGGCGGGCCTGTCAATTTCCATTATCCGCCCGGAGAGGCCACCCTGAGAATTTTGTGGGTGCCAGACTGTTACCAGACGCCAGTTGGTTGTGCACGTAATGCTGGGTCCTTGTGAGCGTGACGCCCACGGCCGATAGCT